CTCTGCCTCCCGAGTGCTGGAATTAAAGGCATGTGCCACCACTGCCCGGCCGACCTAAGTTGTTTTTAAAACAAGTTTACACTGTGCCTACACCAATGAGCCTGATAGGTAAAATGTGACCTTGGATCTTTCTCCAAAACATCACAGGGAAGTTTGTAAGACTGAGTGTGAAGTTAGGGAGGGTGCTAGAGATCAGTGAGGTGTCCTGGAGGCAGAAATACCTGGTGACTTCCTTTCTAAGGAGACTCAGGATCTCTCTGACCAGAAGGGTAAAAGCAAACAAGATCTACACAAGCTCAAGCCAGATGAAATCTCAGCACGGAGAGGGAATGTGGGCATGACTTCACACCCTGGCTGAGGAGCTATGGGCAATTGATAGCTGATGAGAGAGGGAGAGCCAGTTTCATTTAAAGGTATATCTCCTGGTAAGTCTTTCCCACTCCAGTGGATGGCCTCACATCCAAGAGTATATGAGCAGCACAAAATGCACTTGATGTCTTTTTAAAAACAGGACACAAAGTTGGGTAGGTAGGGATGTGGGATGGATCTGGGAGGACTTTGGGATATGGGGTCAGTATAATCAAAATATATGAACCTCTCAGAAGTTAGTTTTAAAAGAAAATAAAGCAGGGCAAAATTAAGCAAGCAACATACATGGAATGAACAGGATACAGCAAAATGTGATGAACCACTAGAATTGGGTCAAGCAGCCACAGATATGGGTCAAAGTCAGGAAGTTCAGCGCATGTGTCTTTTGAGACCTGCTGCTGCTGCCTAGCTAGGAGCACAGCGTCTCACTTCAGTTCTCAGAAGGGATGACTCACGATGGAGTCTTTGTTCATAATGGGCTGTTTTTTTATTAACATATTTTTTAATTTATTTTTCAAAAAGTTCATGAATGTATACAATGTATTTTGATTATATTCTGTCTGGGATGAAAGCCCATTGCTGGAGAGGCCTTCGGCCCTAGGCAAGAATTTCTTACGTTTTTCTATGGATCACACCAAACAGCATCAAACCACTATTTAAACATTTACCTTTATCCCCATCCATTGCTGCAGCTCTGAGCCCTCATCAAGGGAGCCTCTTTGTGTTGAAGCTCTCACTCACAACTGGTTAAAGCACTGAGAATAAGTGACTGCGGGAGTGTCTGGTCCTAAACAGATCATCTGTATCACACCTCCTTCTCCCAAGGTCTATTTCCCTTCCTTTTGTGTATAAATATGTTGCCTGAAATGTATGTCTATGTACCATGTGCATGCTTAGTGCCTGAGGTGGTAAGAAGAGAATGTTGGATCCACTGGGACTAGATTTACAGGTGGTTGTGAGTGGCTATGTGGGCGCTAGGAATTGAAACTAGGTCTTCTGTAAGAACAGCCAGTGCTCTTAAGCGCTGAGCTGTCTCTCCAGCCCTTGTTTTCTTCATTTCAAAAATTTCAAGCACTTTTCTATTCTAAAGTCATGAGGTAGTCCACATTCCTCCAAAATCCAGCATGGTCAGGTTTATCACATCAATACCCCACTTCTGGACCAACTTCTATCTTAGTCACTTTACTATTGCTGTGAAGATAGACCATGACCAAGGCAACTTATTAAAAAAAAAGGAGTTTATTGGGGGCTCACTTACAGTTTTAGAGAGAGTTCATGACCATCATGGAGGGGAGCAATCTTATTTCCCACTCACTGCTCTTTACTTAGGGAGTTGTGCTTCCAAGGTTCATCTGGGTTTGGGTTCCATTTCGTCTAGGCAGGACAAGGGTGGGGGATTATATGGAGATCTGGAGAAAGAACAGGGTACTTCTGTCTCCCCAGTCCCACTAATGTGGATAGGAAAGTATGCAATTAGTGACTTAGGCCAGTGAATTTGAACATGATCACAACTGTCTAGGGCTTCCTTTCTTAAATCCTTAATTGCAACTCATGATCTTTTCACAAAAACTCTGGATTGCCAGAGCTACAGAAACACAGTGGATTACAAGTCTGGCTATGGTTCCTGGCACACCTTTATGATAAAGAAATGAGGGCTGCCTGGAAGAGTTACAAAGATCTTTATCACTGTTTTTGCTCAGTAGCCAGCTACCTGCTAGTTTCATGAGGATTTAGAATTTAGATTTTTGCCTGCTGGCAGTATACAGTAGTAATGAGGATTGGTTATTCCAGCTGAATTAGGGTGGAGATTCAGTTTGCAACTGAGTGTAGCTTTTTTATTTTGGACAAATTCTAGAATAATCATAAACTCCAGTTTTAGTGGAATAGAATGGGATCCAATTCAGGCAAAGAAGCTACACTTCCCAAAGGTGTTCTGAGTGAGTATATTTACATTTGTATGTGGGACGTGTGATCTGGACACTGAGGAGGGCACATGTGGGGCTGGGGGAGGAGGCAGTGATCACACTGCTCTTTTCCAATTTCTTATTCATAACTGGTTAAATTACTCATACCAGATGCTCCTCTGTTTCCAATATCAGGTGACTTTGGGTTTGATTCAACAAAGTGAGGACATGAATAAAATTTTGGAATGTACGATGAAGGAAAATGTGTATGTCCTTTGCTATAACCCTGCCTTGGTCAGCACATCTAGTAGCAGATGAAACTCCATCTCCTCAGACCCTGGCCACAGCAACCATCCCTTCTGTTCCACCCTCATCAGGGAGTCTTCCCTGAGCTCTGATCACCCCTCCCCTTCCTTCCTCTCCCCTCCCCTTTCCTTCCCTCCTCTTCCCTCCCATCTCCTTTTCTTCCTTCCCTTCCCTTCTTTCTCTGTAAAGGAGTTGCTATGAATTCTCTTTATCACAAATCTGTTTATGTGCAGCCTTTCCATCTACTATGTAAACAATTCCCCATTTGTAAATACTTGGCATGACTTGTGTTTTATTTGAGTAATTCTGGTTAAAACAGGTATTTCAAGAGGAATGTATTTGTAAATCTCTGTTATGACAGAATTTAAAACAACATATATGGTGTGGGGGATGTTGTCTGTCATAGAGCATTTACCTAGCATGAATGAGACCTTAAGTATTATACTCAGCCCCACAGGGTGATAGAAAATAATTGTAAGCCTTTTAGGCAAAATAATCAAAAATATTAACTCTTAAGAGCTTCCTGGTCACTTCAAGGCAGTATAATTGAAAGTAGGTGAGTATATGGCATGGAGAGTAGACTTAAAGGGTTTTAATTTAGATGCTTTTATTGCGCCACATTGAGTCTCGTGTATCTTTTTTTTTTTTTTTTTTTAACTGAAATGCTCATGTTTTGCCAAGATCTTTCTGGATTGGCAGAGCTACAGAAACGTGGTGAATATTCAGTATATCCAGAATTTAAAACTCTCAATACTGTAAGTCTGGTGTGGATATTGAAGCCAGGAAACTCAAAGTCAAGTAAGGGTACCTTAAAGAACTCACATATCTGTTAGAAAACGCCTCAGCAGCAGTCTTGCTGGGCATATAGAAGACACTGGCATATGAAAACAAATAAAATTGGCTGCAGCAGTGAATAGAAATGGTAAAGACAGAGCATTATTGTGGCTCACACATTATGTGTCTAGTGACCATTGGTATGTTGGCTAGCATTGCAAACGTACAAGGAATGCCCGAATACAAAGGAAATCGGTGTGGCATAACAGCATAGAGGTACTGAATCGTTTGCTGGAAAATTCAACAGCCTTTTCCATGAAATATTTTAGTTAGTATAGCTTGATAAGCCATGCTTTGTTGACACCCATGGGAGGCCTGCCCCTTTCTAAACAGAAACAGAGAAGTGGATGGGGGTGGGGCGAAGGGGAGGTGGGGCTAGGGAGGAAAAGGAAGGAGAGAAGGGATGGGAAACTGTGGAAGGGGTATAAAATAAATTTTAAAAATTAATTAATAAAAAGAAAAAAGTAAATAAAGGAAAAGAAGTTTGGGGTCCTGTTTTTCTGGAGGGATACAGTTATAGGAGTGATAACCTTTTTGATTTTGCTGCTTCTTGTTTGTTTGTTTTCAAGTTTGTTTTTTTAAGACACTGGAACTGCGTTGCAAAAGGCTTTTGCGGAATTGGCATAAATACAGCCCAGAGTAAATCGTATTTCCATGTTGGGAACAAAAGTCCTGAAACTTAAAGTTTGCAGTGGCGTGCTTAGACAAAACGTTTTTTTCAGCAGGGAGTTCCCGAGTCCGTCCAGTGTGGAGTATGTGGCAGTCTGATGTATAAAGGTGTGTGATGAACAGCATAACAGGATGTGAAGGAGTTGAAGCACAAAGTTATGTGGTGCCGAGGCAAAAATCAATAGATTAGGGCTCTAGGTATAAGGGACCTAAGGCAAGACTGGAAATTTCCCTGGAGACGTTTTTTTTCGACTGTGCCATGTCCACTCAGCAGTTGACTTGGGCGCCCTCTATGGAGAATATGGTGTTAGGTCAATGAAAGGCAGCAGTGTTTCTGTTTGCTCTTTACTGAGTGCCTCTGTGAAGGACCCAGTTAAGAGCAAGCCTATGATTTCACACACACACATTCAACCTTTAAGCAAGACACTCTTGGAGAGCTATTTTTATCATAAAGGTCTTACAGGTGGTAATTTATAAAGAGTCTTTCTTTATATTACAATAATATGGATGACACTGGAAGTTCTTTCAAGAGTGTATTCCTCTCTTAAATGAAAGAACTTTTAAAAAACAAGTGTTAGACAGACTACAAAAACAAAAAAAAAAAATTTGTGCCCTCCCTTTGGCTATCAGACTATTCAAACAACGGTTCCCACGAAATTAGAATTTCCCAAAGGATTTCATCCTGGGAGAATAAAAAAGATGGGGTCCCAGTACCAGTGAGGAGGGACTTGTTTCCTGGAGAGATTTTATGCAGTTCTGACAACTCGTGAGACCACTTTACAAGAAAGAATGAAGCTATGACAATGGTGATGGATGGGACCACAACCTGACCCAGGATAGCTCAGCTATGGACAGTTGTGGCCCTCTGTTTAAGCCTAAGCTCCATGTTAGGACTCTGAAGATGTGTGTGTGTGTGCGTGTGTGTGTGTGTGTGTGTGTGTGTGTGTGTGTGTGTGTGTGTGTGTGTGTGTGTGTGTGTGAGAGAGAGAGAGAGAGAGAGAGAGAGAGAGA